TTGTATTTTTTTCTCCTTTTATAGGTGAAGAAAATGAGCCACAGCAAGGTTAAATAACTTGCCCAAGGTAAACAAACAAACAAAAGAAAAGCTAGAAAGTACTAGAGCTGGGAGCCCAGCTGAGGAAGTCTGACTCTCAAACCCATGATCTTAATCGCTGGGCTCTGCTGCTACCAAGATAGTAAGCAAAGACAGGAATTTCAAAGCCAAAACCATTGAGATTTGATTTAACTTAAAAAGAGGTTTCCAGTAGCTGTAGCTGTGTGGGAGAGGGGAAGAATAGAGAGACTTGTGCCAGGGAAACTAACCCAGATACTATTTCTCTAAGCCAGATGGTGAGGTACAGCAATGTGTCACAGGAATGATTGTGGGGGTGGGGGTGGCATTTAAGAGATATGGACAAGGTAAAAGTGATTGGGCATGATGACCAATATGGAAAGTTGGAAGGATTATAGGAATCTGAGTGCAGGCCTTCAGATTCATAGCTTGAGAAGTGGTTAGTTAGCTATGGCTTTGATAAAGCTTTAAAAAGAGTTGGATTGGGGCTGCAAAGAGCTTTGTATTTATGATGTCCCTGGAGCACCCTAATTTTGAACACATTAAATTTGAGATGACATTGGAGTATTTAGAAATTAGGTCTATATCTCAGAATAAACATTATTATAGTATCCAAGAGTACATTATAGAAAATATGCAAGATGAAGGAATGGTGGTAGATGGCATCACCCTGGAAAATGTGCACAAGACCGATAGGGAGCTTGGTTAGGGATAGGACAATGAGGAGGAGCTGGGTTTAGATAGCTTTTGCATCACTGTGACCCAACAAGAACAATTTACAAAAGTAAAAGGTTATTTTGGCTCATAGTCCCAAAGATTCAGTCTATGGTTGGCCAACTCTATGGCTCTAGGTCCAAGGTAAGGCAGAACATCATGGCATAAAGGCTTGGTGGTGGAAGCAGAGAGAGAGCTCCACTCATCAGCAGCAACGTAAAAACCCCAAAGGCATGCCCCAAGTGACCTACTTCCTCTAGCCACATCCTACTTGCCCAGTTACTACCCAGTTAATCCATTCAAGTGGAACACTCCACTGATTAGATTACAGCTCTCATAATCTAATCCTTTCTCCTCTGAATATTTTTGCATTGTCTCACACATGAGCTTTGGGGAGACACCTCATAAGCCAAACCATAACACTCTGTCAAAAGAAAAAAAAATCATCAGAGACCCTTAGGACAGTGTTGTCTCAGATAACATATTCTGTTGGACACAGTTCCTTGGTGGGAAGCCTGCATGACCCCAGCCTTCACCATTTCTCCGTCCAATCCTCCTTTCGATTTAGGATCAGTAATGGCATCCCACTGTTACTAGTCCATGGATAACTCTCTGTCCTTTTGGTTCCTGTAACCCTGTACAATGCCTCCTGCTTTCATTCAGTCTGACTTTGTGGAGTCTACCATCTATTTTTTTTTTTATTTTTTTGGCCTGGATCCTGATTAATGAGGATCTTCTCTCATCCCCACCTCATTCTTCCTTCAGGAGTCACTGTAAGTAAGAACTTCCAGTTGCCTCTCAGTATTCATTCTGCACTTTGTCCTCAGTGACAGAACTGTGGGCCATGTGGTTTTGGGGAAAAAAAAAAACAGTGTTTAAGAAACTGCATTTTTCAGCCTCCTTTGCTTCTGCATGTGGCCATGTCACTGAGTTCTCGTAATATAAACAAATTGGACATGTGGAACTTTCAGGAGGGGAGCTCCAGTCACCTGGGGTGGCCTTGGGAATGGAAACCACACATGGAGATGTAGAGAAACGGGGCCATGGTCCCTGTTGGCTTCACAGATCCACTGTATCAGCACTAGACTAGTTTATTAAGTCTCGCTGTAACAGAAATGGGCTGGTATAGGGATTTGGAGAAAGAGGTGAGGAATTTGAAGAGGAGACAGTGTTAATGGGGAGATACCTCCCTTCTGAAGCTGGGAATGGAAGAATGTTCTTGCAAGTGCGTGAAGGGAAGTGTAGGGGAACTGAGGACTGGTTTGTGTAGGAGATGTGCTCAGTTGAGAAGGAGGAAGGAGAATTAGTTGCAGAAACAAGAAAGATTATAATAGGGAACTTGAAGATCTACAATGAAAACTACAAAAGGAATTTGACTAGGGCTAAAGAAAAAAGTGCAGAGCTGGTTCTTTTATATAGAAAATACTCCTCTCCCTTAAAAAAAAATCTTTTTACTATATTACTACAGATGATTGTTTCAAAAACCTTTCTCTTTGGGGAAATTTTCTAATTGTACAATAGCATAATTCAGGATGATACAATGTGGTAATTTGGCAATCTATAAGTCATTTGATCCATGTTGTTAGATAATTCAAATTATTCAGTACCAAAGGGATTGTTTGTGTAGTAAAAGATATAGCTACATAATCACTAAGCCTTTTATTCACATAGAGCTATAAAAGGGGTCTGTAAACAACTACTGTTAGTATAACACAAACCCCATTTTGGTCACATGGAACCCAAAACCAGGATAAATTTGAACTGCCTTTGAGTGTAGACACATTCTTCTTATTATTTGTGTTTTCCATTAGAAGGTGGTAAATCCAAGGCTTGTCATTGTTGTGCACTTTCAGACTGGCAGCTATAAGTAGCTGGGGTTAATTGTGACCTTTATGTTATTTAAAGATATTCAAAATTTTTATTCTTATTATTAGAGGATAAGATGTGCTTGGTTTTCCTCATATCAAATAAGAATATTCATTCTTAAATGACACCCATCCTTAGAGACTTTAGAGCAAAACCTTTCATAATATTTAGCTATTTTTAAATGTCAGGTGCAGTTGAGTTTATTGCATTGCCAGCCTGGGCCATCAGCAAAAGTCTCCTGTTTTTAGTGCTACTTAACAGATTGTCAGTAAATTGATAGCATTTCCACATTTGGAAAATTTCCAATCTCCTCATGGCAAAGGAGGGCAGGTGTTTTCCTCTGACTTGGTGAAGGTTTCTTTTTCAGCATTTGGTTGATTGAAAGGAGTTGGGTGAACTAAGAAAAGATATTGGGGAGGGCGGGAATATATATATATATATATTTTTTTTTTTCCCTCATCAACTAGGATCCTATGAAAAGATCAGCTCACCCATAAAATCTTGCCGAGTCTTAGCAGAGGGCAAATCTACAGCAGGAATATTTTTTAATAGTTTTTTTAGTTGTAGATGAACACAATACTTTTATTTTGTTTGTTTATTTTTATGAGGTGCTGAGGATGGAACCCAGTTCCCCACACGTGTGAGGCAAGCACTCCACTGCTGAGCCACAACCGCATCTCCCAGCAGGAATATTTTAGACATTGAAGGGTATATATGGAATAAGTCTTAAGTTTTAAGCATGTGAGTTTTGATGTTGCTTTTGTTGTTGTTTTTTTGTTTTGTTTTGGTACTGGGGATTGAACCCAGGAGCTATTTACCACTGAGCTACATCCTCAGCCCTTTTTATATTTTATTTTGAGACAGAGCCTCATGAAGTTCCTGAGGCTAGTCTCAAACTTAACTGGTCATAGCCTTTTGGGTTGCTGGGATTACAGGTGTGCACCACAGCACCAGATTTACGCATGTGAATTATTAGAAGCTACCACTTACATGTGTTGGACACACTGCTTAAAACTACCTGTAACCTGTAGGACTGGTTAGAGAGGGAGGTTTGGGTGCGTGGAGAGGGTGCTGCTTCGAGTTGGAAGGGATGAATTTCTTTACTGGCCCCTGCTGCTTATGAGTTTCTGACCTTCAGCAAATTACATAACCGTTTCCAACCTTGATTTTCTTACACATGAACTACCCGCCATGCCCCCACTCCTCCAGCATAAATGGTCTTGAAGATTAATTTCTATGATAATGTCTAGGAATGGGCCTTGGACTCTAGAAAGCTTGATGTATTTAAGGCAGTTTCACTCTTAGAAGGAGGCCCCTAGAATTTTCTCCTAGATGATACTTTGGTATTTTTATTTGAATAACTATATGCATCTTGAAGTAATAAATCTAACATTGACCTGTGGGAATGAGATGATCTATGGATTCCTCTCAACAATTTGAGGGTCTCCAGGGCAGTGCATCCTCTGGATGAACCAGCATCCTCTGGTTCTGCATCCACACATTCAAATAACCTCAGGCAGAAAATATTTAGGGAGAAATTTTTTTTACTATCCTGAGCATGTACAGATTTTTACCTTGTCATTGTTTCCTAAAAGTACAGTATAATAACTATTTTCAGAGCATTTACATCGTACTGGGCATTATAAGTAATCCAGAGATGATTTAAAGTACACGGGAAGAAATTCAGGTTATTTTGTAGGCAAACATTCCACCATTTTATATAAGGGACTTGAGCATCTGCAGATTTTGCTATCTGCTGGGGACTCCTGGAACTAATCTCTTTTGTATTCTGAGGGGCCACTGTATGGACAAAAGTTAAGTGAAAGGACATCGAGCCAGACAGTGCCCAGTATGGCTTTGCCAAGTCATTGTGCCTCAGTTGCACTTGATAAAATAGGGATAAAATATTATTGACCTTATAGTATTGCTGTGAGGATTAAATGGAGGAAATAACACATGCAACATGAATGATTTTAAGTACTCAGCAGGATTTTAAACAGTTTCTTAGTGGTAGTTTGAAATCAAGCTTTGCATCAATTTATACAAATTGATCTCCCTCCTCTCAATTTGTGGATTTTATTCTGTTTCACTTTGGGAAGCAAACTTAAAAAAAAAATTAAACAGCGTCTGCCATTATACCATGTGTAGCTCTTGGAATTTCTGCAATTAGCTCCAATGCCATCTTCCTTTTTTTCATTTAAATCGTTCTATTTTAAGGTTTGTGTAAAAAAAGAGTTGCTATCCTCAAAGAAAAATCCAACAGTTGAATGACACATGAAATAAAGTTAAATTGAATTATAATAAACTTCCACTGAATCTTGTTAAACCTCTCTTTGTTCTTTTCCTCTTTTTTTTCTCCTTAGTTCTCACCTGAAGTTTAATAATCTCACCCTGATTTCAACTCATGGACTCCCAGGGAAAAAACTTCTGGGCAATGAACAAAGAAAGTTTCTGGCAACCAAGTATGGATTCTATTTGATTTTTCATTCTAAGGCCTAACTGTAATCCATGCATAGTCTTTTCTATGGTATCTAATAGATTTCAGATTGGGAAGAGGAAAGTGAAAGACTTTTCTCCTAGTGTTCAGCATTACTTAAGAAATACAAATTCAAACCTATTACCAAGAGAATGGTCCAGAGTGGCAGTTTGGGGCCACCATTTTGTATCTGTGAGAAGCCAGTTGCCCTATTCCAACAATTGGGGTGGAGTCCATGGACCCAGCCACCCCTACAGGGTCAATGGACCTTGATGACTATGTTTGCATCTGACAGGGCACCTCAGTAGGGCTTGGGTCTCATGCCCACTTCACCATTTGTAATTAGGTGCTGACTGGGCACCTTCAATGCCGGTCTAGGCAAGCTCTATTGTTTTCATCCCAATAGGATCATTATTTGACAACATCTGTTCTAGAAAGTACTATTCCATTATCACACAGCTTCCACTAATTTTAATTTTCTATATCAAAACATTAGTACAGAAATATTAGGATTCCTGCCTCTAGAAACAATCTCCCAATTTTTTTTAGTGAAGAGTTAAGGAAATTGTTCCTCTCAGGGGACCAGTTCATTTCAGAATCTATGATGAAAGGACCCTCTTTCCTCTTTCCTCAAAAACTTGCTTTGCCTTCAAACAGTGAGGAAAAACCATAGATTCTTTGCCAGAAGAATAAGGCTCATTTTGAACTAATACCTTTACCAGACTCTAAACATTGATATTTTTTTTTCTTTCTTGGAAGATTGCCATTACAGAGCAGTAAAGGACACAAGATTTGAGCCAGGAGGATGTGGATTCAGATCCTGCCCTTACTACTAAGGGTCTGAGTGAAGGATTTCACTTCTTTGAGCTTTGGTTCTTTTAATTGTGAAAAGTGTATGATTAAGATGTGCTGCCTGGAATTTTTGTTAAAAAATTCTGGCCAAGAATAGAGAATCGATACAATGGACATTGTCTTTTCCTCCATCACACCTTCCCTCTTTCTAAACTATATGACTCCCAGAAAATACTAGTGTTATTGATGTCTTAAGAAGAGGTTTTTTTTTTTTTTCCTGATATTTTCTTTCTTTTTTTTACCTGGCTTATTTGTTTTATTTTTAACAAAATATAATTAATTGTATGATTACATAATTTAAGCTTCAATAATGTCTACATTTAACAAATATTTAACAAAATCCCTGAAAACTGAGCAGTTGGGTCTTAGGCACCATTATGAACTACTTCAGCACTACACTTCCTAGCTCAGGCTTTTACACAGAGCTCAAGTTCAAAGTCTCTTTGAAAGACCCTCTCCACCACTGCTACCCATAGAGTGCAAAAGAAGGTTTGGTGCAGGAAATTTTTTGTTTGGTTGGTTTTTGTTTTTGTCTTTATTTTTATTTATATATGACAGCAGAATGCATTACAATTCTTATTACACATATAGAGCAAAATTTTTCATATCTCTGGTTGTATACAAAGTATAGTATATTCACACCAATTCGTGTCTTCATACATGTACTTTGGATAATAATGTCCATCACATTCCACCATCATTTATAACCTCATGCCTCCTCTTGTCCCTTCCCACCCTCTGCCCTATCTAGAGTTTGTCTATCCTCCCATGCTCCCTCTCCCTATCCCACTATGAATCAGCCTCCAATATGGAAAGCAGTATGGAGATTCCTTGGAAATCTGGGAATGGAACTACCATTTGACCCAGCTATCCCTCTCCTTGGTCTATACCCAAAAGACTTAAAAACAGCATACTACAGGGACACAGCCACATCAATGTTTATAGCAGCACAATTCACAATAGGTAAAATGTGGAACCAACCTAGATGCCCTTCATTAGATGAATGGATTAAAACAATGTGGCATATATACACAATGGAATATTACTCAGCAATAAAAGAGAATAAAATCATGGCATTTGCAGATAACTGGATGGAGTTAGAGAAGATAATACTAAGTGAAGTTAGCCAATCCCAAAAAACCAAATGCCGAATGTTTTCTTTGATATAAGGAGGCTGATTTAAGAAGAGTTTTAATGCAACCAGCTTGGTATAAGTTCTATCCATCCCCAGGTTAGAGTGTGATAGGAAAGAATGGTATAAAGGACTTTCTGCTGACGTTATACTACTGCATAGGCAGACTGAGTACCTAGGTAGAAGTTGTTCATTTTGAAGATCCCTGTCTGATCCCTGCAGGATGGGTGTAAGACCCATACCCCAGATGTCCTAGCTTCTGTCCTTGCCTCTTTGCATTCTCAACACAGTCACCACAGCAACACTGCAAAAATGTGACTCAGATCATGTCAACTCCTTACGGCCCAGAACTGCACTGTCCAAGAGAGCAGCTATTAGCCACATGGGGCTATTTAAATTTAAATTAGTTAAAATTAAATGAGATGAAAAAATTCAGCTCCTCAATCACATTAACCACGTTTCAAGAGCTCAAAATAGCCACATATGGCAGTGGCTACCATACTAGCTTAGCTACAGAACATTTTCATTATCACAGAAAGTTCTAGAATGTTCTGAAACTAAAGTCTGTTGTTCCTATCTACTTCTCTGACATCATCTTTTACTTTTTACTCTTTTCTCTACACACTAGCCCTATCAACAACTTTAATGTCCCTCAAACACAAGAAGCTGGTCCACCTTGGGGTCTTTGCTTTTTTTCTCTGAAATTTTACGTCTTCCATGAAGTCTACCCTGACAACCCCATTCATTTGCAACCAATACTTCAACTTACTCTAGTTCCCCTTACTCTGCACTATTTTATTTTGTTTTATTTTTAGTGCTACTGAAATCCTTCTGAATGTTATATAATTTGCATTTTAAAACTATGTTTTTTCTTTACATGATGTGGAATATACCAATGTTGCCTCCAAAGAACTGCAGGCATTCCCTCAATCATAATAAGACAGGCACCAAACAGCTACATCCGTCCATATGAGCCACTACATAATATCCTAACTCTTGGAAGCCTGTTAACAGGATGTTCCCTTAAATGGCCCTCATACCAGAATAAAGGAAATTCTCTCTGATTATGGAGTTTAAAAACAACAAGGACAAACAACATCCATAAATTTAATCATTTAAATTCCTCATTCCGAATACTACTTTTGAACTTGTTCTTAACTAGTGTTTTGCTCCATTATTATAGTTATTATTTTTTTGCACAGCATTTTGGTCCACCCCAAGCCCCCTGCCCCACTCTGTCCACCACTGATGGAGGTGCAAATGACATGCCCAGAGCACAGCTGAAGGGAAGCAGCAGGAAAGCAGGAGAAACAGGAAGGAGGAGAAGCCACTAATTGGACAGTCAACCGTGCATAATTGAAAGTTAATTGTAACAGTCCTTCTTCTAAGAATGTCACAATTAATACTCTCTGAAAACCTCTAAGGTTTTTTCCATTTCTGAATGTTCTGATTCCATGAGGTGCAGGTCTCCACTGACTTCTATTGGCTCCCCCGGAGTTGGCTTCTAATTGTGCACCTGGAGCTTTGGCTAAGTCTCCTGCCCACCAGGTCTGGGGGCACTACAACATTGAACAAGCAGGCCGCTCCTCATTTATGCCTTCTTCCAGAAATTTCCCCTTCCTGCATATCTGCTTCCCGCTCCCCCTTCTCATTCTCTGGCTCCAGAGTTTTCTATAAAGACAACCTTTCACATTTCTGCCCCTGTGGTGCTGGAGACTGAACCCAGGGCCTTGTACATGCTAGGCAAGTGCTCTACCACTGAGCTACATTCTCAACCCCCTTTCATATTACTTTCAAGTCAGGGTCAAGCTCACTTGAGACAACATGAAGTTTCACTGGTGCGCCTTTTTTTGGTTCTTTCTTTTCCAGAGAACCCTGGCAGGAGTATGTCTTGCATCACCAAGCTGGGAGGGAGTCCCTCCTGTGTTAGAATCCTAAGGCTTATTTACTCTGCATAGGAAATAATTTTGGAAATTTTTTTTGCTTATAGTTTCCCTTGTGGAGAAATTAAAGAAGGTCCAGATGGATAGTAATATTCACAATAGACAGCAATCCCTTACACTGTGAGATTTTAACATAAGAAATGTCATTCAAGTAGTAACAGACTGCAAAAGCAAGCATCCCACAACCTTCAATGCTTCTTTTTGCATCTGAGTAAAGGTTCCTGAAAATCGGTGTTCGAGTACCAGTTCCCACTGGACAGAGCTTCAAATTTTAAGTCTGAAATATGCATTCTGACATTATCAACACTGCCGTCCTACCATCATTAAAAATAGTATTGTCTTAGCCTTTCACAAATTTCCCCTGAGAGCTTTTATCTTTGAGTAAATCCTCATAAGACTAATCCCTGGACACTAACTATGTTTAATTTTTCCTCGTCTTGGACAGCTTGCAGTAGAGATTGTATAACTAGAACAATCCTTTGTGGGTCTCTCATGAATGTACAAAACCAGTGAAGTTTCCTGTATTTCTGTAAAGCTATCAAAATGGCTTTTTAAAAGAATTTCAACTCCCTATCCATTATTTTCCTGTGACAGGCCAGCCCCTGATTTTCTTTATTATTATTATTATTATTATTTTTTATTAAGGAGAAATTTTCTTGTTTTTAAGTGTTGTTTCACAGAGAGATACAAAGCCCAGAGCTCCCATCTCTTTCTAGGGCTGTGTAACAGGGTCTAATGTGCATCCATTACTAGAATTCTCTTTGTGTGGTGAAACCAGACTCATGTATGGATCAAAAAGAAAAAAATGTTCTCCCATTACCACTTCAGAACCCTGTTTTCTTCCAAATAGAGTAAACAGGATTATGTGCCATTAATATTATTTCAAATAGTACCCTTCACATATGCATCCCACTTGACAAAATATCATCTCCTACATGCTCATGTTCATTCCTTACTGTGCATGGAGGGTGGGCTAAGTGCCCCATGTTGAGAGGTGAAGAAACTGGGGACACAGGGTTCCCAAAGTCTAGGCTCATTGGCAGAAGAGCAGGGACTCAGACCTGGCATAGTTCTTTCTGGAAAAGATCATCTAGCCTAATTTTAAATGAAACACTATCCTGTCACCTGAGACTGTCCATCTTCCGAACAGGATCATTACAAAGGTCATTTACACAAGGTTAAACCTTTCAGAAAGTTCCAGTAACACCCCTCATAAAAGTCTTTAAATAAACCCAAAGCTGAAAGAAACCCATTTTTGTCACATTAGAGGAGAGTGCCCAAACTCAACAAAACCCAGAAAATGAAAGTCCACACTGCCACCAGTACGCTGCCCCAGCATTAACAGTCACCCTGGACCTGGTGTACTTACAAGTGTGCCCAATATAAAGCACCACTGCCCTGAAGAGTGAATCCCAAAAGTCTCCAGTGATTGTTCTTGCTGTGAATGTAATTCCCTCATTGAAAATTTCTTTAAATAAAATGCGCTTTGTTTTTTTGACATGAAACCATACATTAATTCTAAGAACAAGTCACTGACTGAAAAATATTAGGAAAATAGCAAAAATAACACTCGATGATGTTACTTTCTTCTTCCTCATTCCCTTTGCAGAAGAAAGTGTACAAGTGATCTCTCTCTCTCTCTCTCTCTCTCTCTCTCTCTCTCTCTCACACACACACACACACACACACACACACACACACACACACACACACCTCTTTCCTTGTGGACTGGCCTAAGCCAGGTGGAACAATTTAGTTTTAATGGGAAGATGTCAATTTGTGCCTAAGTGTTTCAAAACGAAAAATCTCCTAGCATCCATCCTGGTAAACTCACAGCAAGAGCACAGACTTGGCTCACTAGGGGACTCGAACCAGCTCACCAGATGTCTAATTAATGCCCGCTGTCAGCTGCTCAAATGTCACTTATGGAGCTTCTCTCTTTGCAGCCACTGTTTTAATGATAAAGATTATGCATTGATGTCACTGTGCTCCTGGGTTAATGTTGTGGTTGGTAGAATGACTGGCATAGACCGAGCAGCCAAGCACGTAATAGTTTCCAAGGACCAAATCGTGCTGTACGACCACCTCATCCTCTGTACCGGGCAGCAGTACCAGGTGAGGCTGTGCACATGGGATGTGTTTGGAGATCTCCACGGATAATGTGTTTACTGGGGCACATGCTCTCTGGGTAAAGAGCATCCTTTCTTGCCCGGACAGCTGCCACTCTATATTCATAAAAGCGCTCTTCAAGGCCTGCGCACATGACCAGAATTGTGTCCGCAAACCCTCCCAGAAACCTATTCCAAGAAAAACATTCTGCTCCAGGATAAAAATCACAGCAAGTTGGAGAAATGTCATTCTTAAGCTGTTGTCCCAAAGTCTAACACTTAACGGCTCACCATAGCAGAATCCAGACACAACCAGGCACACATTTGTGGTAAATTAATTTATGCCTCAAGAGGCTAACATTTGGCTGTGGCAATGCACTCACGCAAAAGTATTTCAAACATGCGCACCTTCTGTCAACCCTTATTTTATTTTGTCTCTCAGTTATAAAACTAGGAAATCAGATTGACTGCTTTCCCAGTGACCATGCTTCCCGTTTGATTAATCTCTCAAGCCACATTTGAATACGGCATTGCTGGATTCAACCGAAGCTGTTCATGTCTCAGGCAGCAGATTTTAATATTCCCACTTCTTGGTACACATTAGCATTTTCTGTGGCCCACAATACAGTCTCTCTCCCATGAAAATACATTGTTTTAAAACTCAAGGATGGGATCTCAATTAGACTGTCTCATGCATGGTGGTGGATTCAATGCATGTATGCTTTCTTTACTTTTCCCAAGCCAGGAGAAGGAGCAGACAGAGTCTCAGTACTAGCGCTGTTACTGCATGTGGTGAGCAGTCACTTTAGCAATGTTCCCTGCTTTGTCTGCACATTGAGATCCCCTGGGATGCTTTGAAAACACCTATCCCTAGGCGCTGCCTCTGGAAATTGTTTTAGTTATTTTGGTGGGCCTGTTTTTGTTGTTGTTGTTGTAATACCCAGGGGTGCTTTACCACGGAGCTACATCCCTAGGACCTTGGGGGTTTTGTTTGCGATCCCATTTTGCTAAATTGCCAAGGCTGGTCTTGAACTTGTGATCCTCCTGCTTCAGCCTCCCAAGTCACTGTGATTACAGGTGTGTGTCACTGTGCCCAGCTCCTGCAGTATTTTTTTAAGCTTCCCAGATGATCATAAACTAAGGCAGAGAATCACCAGCTGGAATTTTCTCAAGGTTGAATTCCTTCATCTTTATCTTAGAACAGCACTTGTCAAACTGCATGGCTGCACACACAAAGCCTCAGAGCATCCGGTTAAAACCAAGATGCTGAGCCCTGGGGTGGGGTGGCAGAACCTGAGATAGTAGTTTCTAACAAGCTCCCTGGTGAGGCCGTTGCTGCTAGTGAATGGACTGCACTTTGAGGAGCTTGGGTGAATCTCTAAATAATTTACTTTTCTTTCTTTCTTTTTTTTTTCTTTCTTTTTAAGAAGTCTCTTTCTCAAAGGATAAAAAAGAATGCCTTTTTTATTTTGGTTGAAGGATAAAAATGAACTGGAGAGATACCTCATTTTGATATTTAAGGATTCCTCATACTTAAAAAAAAATAAAATAAACCAAAAGAAAACACCATGCACCCCTTTCGCCTGTCCCCCCTCACCTGCCCGACGGGTTCCAGCTGCTGCTGGCGACTGCGTACTTTGGAAACTGAGCAGAGGACTGGGCCAGCTGTCCAGTGACTCGGGCATCTGCCCATGTGTGTCCAGCTGCCCCTGCAGCTTTGGTTTGCGGCACATTAAGCTCTTGCCCTTTTTACAGTGGGAAAAATGAAATGAAGAAGTGATAAAGGGAGTTCCAATTTAATTTTTCCAGAAGGACATAAAAATCAAAGGTACATAGAGCAATACAGAAAGGGCAGCTGAATTCACTGGGGACCTTCTAGTTTGTATTTCTTTTTCTATCTCCTTCTCTTTGATTCTCGCATGATTTTGTCCCAATTTTGTCAAACAAAATGATGAAAATAAAACCTAAACCCAAAGCAAGAAGACAATCTATTATAAAATATAATTATGATCTTTCACCTCTAATTAGACCTTTTAAATGGCATGCTTCACTGTAAAATATTCTGCAATATTTTGATATGCAAATGCACATCACACAATCTTTTTATCAGAAAATCTGTGCACAAGGTAAAATCTTTAATTGTATGCCATGGCTGAGAGTAACGAGGGCTGTTCTCTTACTTCCAAGTCCTCTTTCTTGAGCTATACAGTCTGAAGCATTTCTGCTAGAATAAAGTGCTTTAGAATAAAGTGTTTACTACCCTAGCTCCAGATACCATGTTTATAGAAGTTTTGTCCTTGATCTGCCAACTGCAAAGTTGCCATTATTCAAGGCCTCTCTGTTTTGAAAGATGATATGGCATTTAGCTATCTCATTTTCAGTACCAACTTCCTTACCCACCCACTTCATCAGTTTTCACTGGTTTTTGAATGAATACATGCCACCTTTGAAAACCACTCTGAGATCACTTCCAAATGAGATCACATGACTCGCAAATGGTTACTGAGAGACGGATAATACCTGCTCTGTGCCTAGACTTGGGTAATCTCATAAGGAAGAAGAACACAAATTTAACTCAAACTTAACACCAAAACCCAAACAACAACAAATAACCCAATCAGTAAATGGGCAAAATAACTGAAAAGAAACTTCTCAAGAAACACAAATGACCAACAAATATATGAAAAAAATGCTTCACATCTCTAGCAATCAGGGAAATGCACATCAAAACTACACTAGGATTTCCCCTTATTTCAGTCAGAGTGACAATGATTAAGAATACAGACAATATGAATGCTGACGAAGATGTGGGGGAAAATGTGTACGTATACACTGTTGGTGAGACCGCAGACTATTATAACCACTCTGGCAAGTAGTATGGAGATTCCTAAAACAAGTAGGAATGAAACCACCGTATGACCTAGCTATTCCTCTCCTTGGTATTTTCACAAAAGAACTAATATCAATATACTAAAGCAGTATGGCCACCTCAATGTTTATAGCAGCACAATTCATGATAGCTAAATTATGGAATTAACCCACGTGCCCATCAATAGATGAATGCATTAAGAAATTGTGAGCCAGGCATGGTGGCACACGCCTGTAATCCCGGAAGCTTGGGAGGCTGAGGCAGGAGTATCATGAGTTCAAAGCCAGCCTCAGCAATAACGAGGTACTAAGCAACTCAGTTAGACCCTGTTTCTAAATAAAATACAAAATAGGGCTGTGGCTCAGTAGTCAAGTGCCCCTGAGTTCAATTCCTGGTACCCCCACCACTACCAAAAAAAAAAAAAAAGAAATTGTGGTTCACAATGGAGTTCTTCTCAGCTATAAAGAATAAAGAAATTATGGCATTTGCTAATAAGTGGATGAAAATGGAGATCATCATGCTAAGTGAAATAAGCCAGACTCAGAAACTCCAAGGTTGAATGTTTTCTTTCATATGCAGAAGCTAGGGTAAAATAAAGGAAAGGAAGAGGGAAAAAAATAGGACATCATAAAGATATAGGAAAGTAATGTAGAAGAAGGAGATCAAAAAACAGAGTGGAGGGATGGGTAAGGGGAGGCAATACAGAATGAATTCTTAGAAAATCATGTTATGTGCATCTATAAATATACTACCAGGAACTTCACATTTATGTATAAGTAAGAAAAAGCAATCAAATATAAATAAATAGACAAGCAAAAGGAAGTCTAGCAGAGTAGAGGAAGGAAACCTACAGAGGGAAGGGAGTATGGGAGGTAAGAAGATTCATTAACTGAAATCAAATTCCATTCTATGAATGTGTGAGTTTGTTGAGATGAACACAACTACTATGTACACTTATAAAGCTCTTTTTTTTTTTTTTAGAAAAAAGAGATAGGTACTTCAGTTTATAGTCAACCTGATATGACTCAACAATATGACATAGTCTCTGAGAGGTTCATGACATCTAGAATGAGAATAAAGTGTGGTAAGCAGAACAGTGCAGCCCCAGGAAAGAGTCTGCTACAAATAGGGACTGGGGAAAGAGCTATCTATGTTGATGTACCTTCTAGGAAAAGACTAGAGAGTGGGACTCCCCTTATCATTTGACAGCATCTAGTAGGAAGAGAATTCACACTGAAGATGAATGAAGGGAAAAGTAACAGCATAAAGTCAAAGCAAGTGGCTCTTTTGAACCACTTGCAAATTATCTGATACTTCTCCCATCAGAGGGTTGGAGTCTGTGCCTCCCCTTCTTGACACTGGGCAGACTTACAACAATAACTTAAGACATGCTAGAAGAAAACTCTCCTTACCCCCCCAAAAAATATTGTCTAACTGATTGATTTCAAGTAAAATCAAGGAAAAAATTTCTCAGTTAGTTACATTCTGGTAAATGTCAGAGAATGAGACATTTCTGATTGTTGCATGAGAATGACGGGAGGTGAAAGGAGAACAAGCTTCAGAAGAAAAATAACAGATTACCAAATGCACCCCCTTACAAAGGAGCAAAAATAAGGCAATCATAAAATATTCCCTCTTTGATGTTAAACTGCAAAATAAAATGAAACCAACTGCACAGAATTCTGAGAAAATTTAATGGTTCAGTTATTATATGTCTACTTAATTCTATCATTTTAGAAGATAGCAAAGAGACATTCTCTTATGTGCATATCCTCAGAAAAATTATCTTCCATGTTTTTTTAACCTTACTGTAAAGTGCAATGTACTCCAAATAACTGAGATTAAAAAAGAAAATTTAGAACTTTATAATAGTATAAGGATAGGTAGCAAGCACCACAAATGTAATTTAAATAATTTTTGTAAATCTGAAAATAACTATGAAATAGGAAATTATGACTCTCAACCTAAGTTAGTCTAATAGAGACCAAGAACTTCCTGAAAATATGGAAAAAAAAGTGTAAAGGGAGTAATATGAGTCATCTTAAGTAGGCAATCCAAAGGTAATATTTCAGGGTTGACCCATTATTATTTAGAGGAATTCGGTGACACACGCCTGTAATCCCAGAGGCTCTCCGGAGGCTGAGACAGGAGGTTTGCAAGCAATAGTGAGGCACTAAGCAACTCAGTGAGATCCTCAGCAATAGTGAGGCACTAAGCAACTCAGTGAGACCCTGTCTCTAAATACAAAATAGGGCTGAGGATGTGACTCAGTGGTCAAGTGCCCCTGAGTTCAATCCCCGGTACACACCCCCGAAAAAAAAAAAAGAACCATAAAAGACTATGTCAGGCAAATCCTCTCAGCTCTTAGAGCAGTGATATTAATACACAACAAAGTAAAATTGGAGACACAAAAGCAATTAACACTGACAAAGGTCAAAATTCATGGTGACAATATAGAGGTCACAAACCTATTATGGGCTGAACATGATTGTGTCAAAGGACAGGCCATAAAAACAAGGGTGTACACCTGGCTTACTCATTTAAGAAAAGGACAAGCTAAGGCACATCCAGAAGCTCAAATTCACCCCAGATGTTGAGCCACACAGATGAAAATTGCGGTGGCTAGGATGACCAGCTAGTCAGAACTAGTCTTGTACATCATAACCCCAGGAAGCTGATTTAGGACAGGTCCACGGAAGCAACGGGAATATGATGCTTATTCACCCTAAGAAACAGCCTTCTAATGGTCTGGAAGTCTCTTCCACAAGGGAGTGGCCAGCCCCAGGAGACAGGAGCATGCTGTGCTGAGAGCCTTCATCAGAGCAATGAGAGTCCCGGATGGCAGTCGAGTGTTTTCTATGAAATGATCATATATTAGCTGATGTAACCTTCATGGTGACTCTAAGATGATTCCAAGAAAAATCACCTTGGAGTGAGTGTCATCTTCGTTCTCACACTTCAGATTAGGGGACCACCTGTTATTTAGCAATTTGCCTGGGGCCTCTCCACTGCAGGTGAACTTTCTGCCCATCATAGGTGCAGTAGTATTCCTGCCTAACAATCCTGAGACCTTACCACACGAATACGCAAGACAGCTGGTATAGATCCTCCAACAAAGACCTCAAGTTGCAGTTAAGTTTTGCATCCTGTGCCTTCTCTTTTTCTCCTCTGTATAATTTGCACCTGGCAGCCAAATTGAAGGGGCAAAATAGTGGCCCATCGGGCAAATTCAGGCCATTGTGCTGATTCATTGGGCTTTCAGGATACTGTTTGATTTTATTTATTTATTTATTTATTTTTTTATATTTTTTTTACTGTTTGATTTTAATTTGAACCAAAGTAATAAAAAGTCAAGAGTCCATGTAAAAACCCCAGTATTTGACATTTCTTGAACAATCAGATCTGGCCCTACTTGATCCATGCTCTTCCCTGGCAACAACTGGATGGAGCTGAGTCATAGCTGAACTCTGGCCAGGACACAGGCTCTCTAGTTTGTATCCTTGACATGGGGGACAAGTGTCAGCCACCATCCTTTATTGGGGTTTCACTATTACTTTCTTTACAGTAGAGGAAAGTTTCTGTTTCCACTCATGTCAGTGTCAAAAGCGAGAGAACAGAAGTTATACAGGGATGATTCTGTATAAATAGAGAGAAGGAAGATGGAGAGAGTAAGAGAGACAATTTCCCTGGAAAAAAATCCTGTAATTTTCATGAGTAAATAACAATCCACTTCCCTTTTTGTATTTTTCTGCCTAGCCCCTCTGTACACTTGAATCTTAGTACCTATTAAAATTGCTTCTGTGGCAGATAGACCAAGTCAAATTTAGTTTGACATTGCCTTCCAGAGCCTTGCTACTCCTGCTTGAAGAAGTGGAGCCTTAGTTTCATCGTCTTGATCCTGATGTGTTAGCTTTGCGTCACAGTGAACAAAATACCTGTAGAACAACTTAGGGGAAGAAAAGTTTAATTTGGGCTCACAGTTTCAGAGGTCTCATTCTGTCCGTGGTGGGCTGATTCCATTGCTGTGGATCTGAACAACAGGGTGGAAGGAGGTGGTAGAGGAAAACTGCTCAGCCCATAGCAGCCAGGAAGCAGAGGGAGAGAAGAAGGGGCTCGGATCAAGATGTAGTCCCTCAAGGGTACACCCCCAGTGACCTATTCCTTCCAACCATGCCTCACCTGCCTATAGTTCTACCCCTTCATTCTAATCCATTCAGCATCAATGGATTAATCCACTGAGTCCTACCTCTGGTCATGATCCAACACTTCCCAAAAGCTCTACCTCTGACTACTTCCATGCATATGATGGTAGCCAACTTCCAGGACTGGTTAGAGAAGAATAAGGGGCTCTCTGTGCTGCTTCTCTCTCTCAGGACACTTCCACCATGTTAGGAGGAAGCCCAAGCCACAGGATCTCTCCACATGTGAGTGTTCCAGGTCTTAGACACCATCAACTTCTAGGTAGATAATGACCACTTATGGGTAGTTTTGAGTCCTCACATATTTTGTGGGAAAAGTAAAATAACTGAGATATTATACCTTCAAATGACTCCACCTTCCAGCCATCAAATCACCCTCAGCCCTTTAATCTGTCCATCTGAGGTTCTAAATGTTGTGGAACAGTTAAGCTGTCCCTTAACATGCCCTGTCTTAATTATTGGCTGACAGAATCCATGAGCCTAATAAACAATTGTTTCTACCAATAAGTTTTGGAATAATTTATTTTACATTAGACAGTGTTATGGTTTGGAAGTGAGGTGTTCTCCAAAAGCTCAAGTGTGAGACATCACAAGAAGGTTTAGAGGAGAAATGATTGGATTATGAGAGCCTTGACCCAATTGGTGAATTAATTCCCTGATGGGATTAACAGAGTGGTAGCTAAATGTGGGTTAGGTGTGGCTGGAGAAGGTGGGTCATTGAGAACATGCCTTTGAGTTATATATTTTGTATCTGGTAAGTAGAGTCCCTCTCTCTGCTGTCTCATCATTATGTGAGCTGCTTCCCTCTACCACACTCTTCTGCCATGGTGTTCTGCTTCACTCAAGCCCTGAGGAATGGAGCCTGCTGTCCGTGGACTGAGACCTCTGAAACTGTGAGCCCCCAAATAAATTTTCCTTCTCTACAGTTGTTCTTATCTTCTCTTTCAGTCGTAGCAGCAAAAAAGCCAAATAAAACAGACAGCCAGAGTGATTCCTTCTGAGCATTGTCTCTAAATGGTCCATTTTGTCTTATTTGTTTGTTTTCTCCCCTTTCTATTAAAAGCTAATTAATTATATCTGGGAACATAAAAGGACATATCTATATCAGACATTGCCAAGTGCATTTTATCATTATTATTGTAAAACTGTGTCAGATCTTCACGTCGTACCACTAAAATAAGCATTTCTCCTTCTACCTCAGGTCCCATGCCCTACCGGGGCCGACCCTGGGCAACACCTGACAAACAGAGAGGTTCCAGAAAGCAGTCAACTGCAATACGCTGGGAAAGTTCCCAGCAACCATTTCATTCTCAACGAGGAGGAAGACTGCTTAAGTGCCCTGGTCTGGATAAGGAAGCAATACTTCCCCACCGAAGGTAAAGATATCAGTAGCCATGCATCTTTTCAGAACAGCGTTTTATTTTTATAATGAGTCTCATTCTTCATCTAGTTCCAGTATATAATTAGTGCCTAATTAATTCCAAGCAAATCATTCATCTGTCATGCTTTGTTTTCCAGATTAATTTACAACTTGTTGTCATTTTTGGAGACCCAGCCTGTTTGCTGGGGGAAAGAAAAAGGCTTGAGATAGTTTAATTATCTATAATTATTTTATTACACAAAATGAATATCCGAAGAGCAAAGCATGGCTAAAATCATTAACTAATTAAAGAATAATTTAATAAGCAAACATGTTTAGCAATTATATGGAAAATATGTCTCCTTTTGTGAAGCTGAAAAGACCAAAGAAGAAAAAGAAAGACTCACATTGGAAGGGCTCTTTTCTTCTTTTCACAAGCCATTGTTCTCTTTCTTGCTGTTGCCCGTGCTGTTCTTGCCACAAATCCACATATTCGAGTTACATACCACTTTTTGAATCCAAGTGAGAAAGTAAAACATTTGTACAAATGCCTTCGCCACTCAAAAGCGTTTTCTCAAGCATCCTTCTCTCCATTGCTTGAATTTCACTGAAATCGTTTGACTCATAAAACCACCAGAACAGGGCTCAGCTACCCATGTGTCTCTAGTCGAAACCTGGAAGTCCAAGTTTGGAGATGATTTTGTACATTCAGCCCCTTTGTTTTACCTAAGGCCAGGGAGAATTAATGATCTCGTAGAATGTGGCAACCTCCTATGGTGATAGCTGAAATTCTAATCCTGACCTTCAGTTCAGGCCAGGATACAAGGACCAGTAATTGCCCAGGAAGTGGGCATCAATGTGTAAGACTAAATGTGCACCTTTAAAATACATTTATGTAAATAAAATTTAATTACCTTCATTATTATATCAATTATTATATTATCATTATATTAATCATTTTATATTATATGATTATTATATTATATCATTATTATATTAATTATATTAATGTAATTAATACATTACAATAAAATATAGTTTCTCCTGATTTTTGGTGGATGGTTTAAATCCACCAAAACTTTTTGCCAAGTTAGAATATTGACCGCATTAAAAAAATTACTAGGCCCACACCAACTTGCGCAGGACCCAGGCCTAGGGTAGGTTCGAGTTTGCCACGCCCCCCCCAACCTGGGAGCCCAAGCCTAACCTACTTCCATCTTGGGACACTGCAGACATCGCCATAGCCTTCCCCATGCAGTAACCCCTACGTTTTAAACAGACAGAGCCTAGAAGCAGCTGAATCTCAGAGCAGGCATCCCAAAGACAGTGTAAGGCCCACCCTTTCAGCCCCATCTCTGTAAGACATTGCATCCATCTTGGGGCATCTCCACTATTATTGTGAGTTACTTTGGCTATTGCTGCCACCACCTTTAGTTGCAGTGGCATACATTGAGGGACACCAGCAGGGTCTGGAACATCAAGGTGAGGTACAGACAATCTGCACAGGTACTACAAGAATATAGGGTAGAAACTGTAATATCTCAGATCCACACTGCAACAAAGGAAGACACATAGACAACATGAAAAAACAAGGGAGGAAAGTTCCCCAAACAAACCAGGATACTACAACAGAACCCATGAACAGCAAAGTTGGTGAAATGTCAGAGAAGGAGTTTAGAAGGTTCATAATTAAAATGATCTGTGAATTAAAGAATGACCTAAATGAGCAAACATACAAAAATTGACGACTCCAACAAAGAGATGAGACAGCAAATAAACGTAGCTAAAGATTACTTCAAGAAAGAGATACAGACTCAGAAAAAAATTAGTCATAAATCCTTAAAATGAAGGAAACAATAAAATAAGTAAAAAACACATAGAAAGCATAACCATCAGACTAGGTCACTTAGAAGAAAGAAGAATTAGATAATAAAGACAAAGTATACAATCTGGAAAATAAAGTTGATCACACAATGAAGATAGTAAGAAACCATGAACAGAACATCCAAGAATTATGGGACAACATCAAAAGACTAAATCTAAGAGTCATTGGGATAGAGGAAGGCACAGAATTTCAAACCAAAGGAATGTACAATCTCTTCAATGAGATAATATCAGAACATTTCCCAAGCATGAAGAGTGAATTGGAAAACCAAATCCAAGAGGCTTACAGGACACCAAATGTACAAAGTTACAACAGATCTACAACAAGGCCCATTATAATGAAAGTGCCTAGCATACAGAATAAGGATAGAATCTTAAAAGCTGCAAGAGAGAGGAATCAGATCACATATAGGGGAGACCAGTTCATATCAGCGGATTTTTTAACCCAGACTCTCAAAGCCTGGAGATCATGGAACAAATATACCAAGCTCTGAAAGAAAATGGTTGCCAACCACGAGTCTTGGTTGGCAAGATGAAGCTTCAGATTTGATGATGAAATAAAAATATTCCATGATAAACAAAAGTTAAAAGAATTTACAACTAGAAAACCTGCACTACAGAACATCCTCAGCAAAATATTCCACGAAGAGGAAATGAAAAACAACAATGAAAATCAAAGAAAGAAAACTTCAAACCAATATCTCTAATGAACATAGATGCAAAAATTCTCAATAAAATTTGGGCAAATTAAATACAAAAACATATCAAAAAGACAGTACACCACAATCAAGTGGGGTTCATTCCAGGAATGCAAGGTTGGTCCAACATATGGAAATCAATAAATGTAATTCATCACATCAATAGATTTAAAGATGAGAACCATATTATCATTTCAATAGATGCAGAAAAAGCATCTGACAAAATACAGCACCCCTTCATGTTCAAAACACTAGAAAAACTAGGGATAACAGGAACATATCTCAATATCATAAAAGCTATCTATGCTAAGCCCCAGGGCAACATCATTCAAAATGGAGAAAAATTGAAAGCATTTCCTATAAAAACTGGAACAAGACAGGGATGTCCTCTTTCGCCACTTCTATTTTACATAATTCTTGAAACACTGGCCAGAGCAATTAGACAGTTGAAAGAAATTAAAGGGATATGGATAGGTAAAGAAGAACTCAAATTAGCACTATTTGCTGATGATATGATTCTATACCTAGAAGACCCAAAAAATTCCACCAGAAAACTTCTAGAACTAATGAATAAATTCAGCAAAGTAGCAGGATTACAAACTCAACACCCATAAATCAAAGGCATTTCTGTATATCAGTGACAAATCCTCTGAAAGGGAAATGTGGAAAACTATGCCATTTAAAATAGCATAAAAAAATAAAATACTTGGAAATCAACGAAAGAGGTGAAAGACCTCTACCATGAAAACTACATAATGCTAAAGAAAGAAATTAAAGAAGACCTTAGAAGATGGAAAGATCTCCCTTGTTCTTAGATAGGAAGAATTAATATTGTCAAAATGATCATACTACCAAAAGCACTATACATATTTTATGCAATTCCAATCAAAATCCCAATGGCATTCCTCACAGAAATAGAAAAAGCAATCATGAAATTCATCTGGAAATATTAGAGACCCAGAATAGCTAAAGCAATCTTTAGCAAGAAGAGTGGAAACAGGTGGCATCACTATACCAGACCTTAAACTATACTACAGAGCAATAGTAACAAAAACAGCATGGTATTGGCACCAAAATAGACTGGTAGACCAATGATACAGAATAGAGGATACAGAGACTAACCCACATAATTACAGTTAGCCTATATTTGACAAAGGGACCAAAAATGTACATTGGAGAAAAAAACTCTTTAATAAATGGTGCTGGGAAAATTGGAAATCCATATGCAACAAAATGAAATTAAACCCGTATCTCTCACCATACACAAAACTCAACTCAAAGTGGATCAAGACCTATGAACTAAACCAGAGACACTGAGTCAATTAGAAGAAAAAGTAGGCCCAAATTTCCATCATGTTGGATTAGGCCCCAACTTCCTTAATAAGACTCCTGTAGCACAAGAATCAATAAGTTGGATGGGTTCAAACTAAAAATCTTCTTCTCAGCAAAAGAAACAATCAGTAAGGTGAATAGAGAGCCTACTATGAGGCTCTTATCACAAATTCTTACCACACGCACGTCAGATAGAGCACTAATCTCTAGGACATATAAAGAACTCAAAATCTTAACACCAAGAAACAAATAACCCAATCAATAAGTGAGCCAAGGAACTGAACAGACACTTCTCAGAAGAAGATCAACAAATATATGAAATCAACAAATATATGAAAAAATGTTCAACATCTCTAGCAATTAGAGAAATGCAAATCAAAACTACTCTAAGATTTCATCTGACTCCAGTCAGAATAGCAGCTATTAAGAATACAAACAACAATAAGTGTTGGTGAGTATGTGGGGAAAAGGCACACTCATACATTGCTGGTGGCACTGCAAATTGGTGCAGCCAATCTGGAAAGCAGTATGAAGATTTCTTGGAAAACTGGGAATGGAACCACCATTTGACCCAGCTATCCCTCTCATAGGTCTATACCCAAAGGACTTAAAAACAGCATACTACAGGGACACAGCCACATCAATGATTATAGCAGCACAATTCACAATAAGTAAACTGTGGAACCAACCTAGATGCCCTTCAGTAGATGAATGGATAAAGCAACTGTGGTGTATATACACAATGGAATATTATTCAGCATTAAAAGAGAATAAAATCATGGCATTTGCAAGTAAATGGATGGAGCTGGAAAATATAATGCTAAGTGAAATTAGCCATTCCCAAAAAAACCAAATGCCGAATGATTTCCCTGATTTAAGGATGCTGATTCAGAATATGCTGTGGCAGGCAGGGATGGGAGGATTAGATGAACTCTAGATAGGGCAAAGAGGAAAAGGGGAGGGAATGACAGGGAGGGATATAGGGGTAAGAAAGATGGTGGAATGCAATGGTCATCATTACCCTAAGTACATGTATGAAGACACAAAGAATGTGACTCTACTTTGTGTACAACCAGAGACTGAAATATTGTGCTCTCTGTGT